CTGAAGCAAAGATGCCCTTGGCTTACTTTTCTGCAGTGTTAGCAGGAACATGTATAATCTCAAGAATATTAAGTATTCCTTGCTTTGCTCTTTGCTGTGCAGAACAAGAAAAAGTGGCTCCTGTACCGAGGGGCTTATGAAATTCAGGTGTACAGAGTAATGTTTGAGATTCAGAGTGACAGGGCTCCTTTTTGTAGTTTCAGGTGTCACTAGACTTCAAGGATTTAACATTGTGGATTTATTTTTTTTAAAGGAGAAGAATAAATGGTAACAAATTGCTTGAGTAGAGAGAAAGTGGTTCATTTTGGTTGAAGTAGGTGAAATTAAGGCTCAGCATATTGGCACTGTAACTGGAGAAGAAGAGAAGAAAGGTCTTGCTGCTGGCTATGAGCAATTGAAAACGTTCTTTCAGATATGTTGCAGAAATTTGTACCTTAGAACCAGAGTGCAGAAAAATGTAAGTTCTTTTGTGGGGGAAAAATTTAATATGGATTTTTGAAAACTCAAGAAGAGGCATTCTCAGTTTTATAGCACAGTAATTTCTGATGTGGCTCAAAAGAGCTTCATTTCAGCTTCTTTATATATTGCAATTTGTATTTTTAAGTTGAGTTTGCTTTTCTGTAAGTCCTCTTTGATGGTTCTTCAGTGTGTGATTGTGGGATGGATCACACATGCTCTGTTTCTCCAGCTGTCCATCCAGATATCTGTAGTGACAGTTTCTGAAATAAAAACCTTAAACTTCTGAAACTTCATTGGTAAAGTAAATGAAAAACGAGTCTCTGCTGTTGCTCTTCTCACTTGGATCTTGGGTTGTGATCTTAACTTCTGGCTTATCTGTAAGGATTTGCAGGTATTTAAGGCAAATTCATGTGGATGGGATCCCTGTCCCGTCGTAAAATAGCACGTTGGTTTTACCTGGAACTTTGTCAGAATGGATCACTGCTGTCTTGTCTTCACATCTGGGAGCTGAAATACCCTGGTAAGGATGGCAGGCCCTGTGTTGGCCTGTGGTGCATTCATGTTTTTGTGTACATGCACAGGAGTGGGATAACTTCACCTCCAGCTCCTCCAAAATGTCACCCAGCTTTAGGTGATCTAACTTGTGAGAATCTTCGAGGGATAAGAAGACAGATTAGTGGTTAACGTAGCTCAGTAGTTGTTCTCAAACAGTGGCAATACACAGTGTTAGGAGAGTCAGATCTGGCCACTTAGAGCTGCCTGGTGCCTCATACATCTCTAGTGTCTGTGGTTGGTGGATTAGGGAGGTTGTAGGACAACATGAGACCCTCCCAGCCTTCTCTGGACTGAGCAAACCAAGGGACTTCAACTTCTCCCCACATGCTTTCCCTTCCAGGCCTTCCCCCATCTTCATAGCTCTCCTTTGGAGACACTGATGGTTTTATGTCCTTAAATTGTGGCATCCAAACCTGCACCCAGTGCTCAAGGTGAGGCTGAAACAGGTCTCTCTGAGTTTCAGTGAGTACTGCCATAGTGCTATCAGTATACAACTTAGTGATATGTTTCCATTATATGCCTCATTTTGATGATCTTTAAGGTCCCTTCCAATCTAATCTATGACTTCTGAGTTTTGCATCCATAAGACACATCTCCTTTCAGTCTTTTCCAAACTGAAGAGTCTTTGCCTTAGCAGGGAAAACAATTGCTTCATCACTTCCACTGTTTCAGTTGTGTTTTCAAGGCCAACTGAAAACAGACCAGAACTGCACCCATTGCTCAAGCTGTTGACAGAGCAAGGTTTTGCACAGCAGCAGAGCAAGTCCTTTACCTTGCTCTCATCTTGCTGAATTGTGGGTGACTTCTGTGTATTAAACTTGTGCTTCCAGAGAACTAGAAGTGTAGAAAAAGACCTTGGCAGCTACTTTCCCGATATGTGCTGCTGAGGTTCCTGAACTGAGAATGAATGGACTGAGGCATCGAGACCACAGTGTTCACATTACCCTTTTTTTTTTTTTTTTAGCATGGATTACTAATGTTTTTCATAGTACTAATATTACATACTGCTGCTGGCTGTGTTGTGGTTTAAATGATGAGGTCTTTGAAAGCTGAACACGTTCTTTTACTTGCTTTCTTTTCATTTATTACAGTGTGAACCCAAACTCACAGGTACTGTGTATTCTGTTGCTTTAGTTGTATGCTTAGCTTTGTTTTCTAGCACATCTTCCTACATTAATTTGTTGGAATTGATTACATGACCTCTGCTAACAGTGTTGCAGTGTTTCACTAGAACTCAGTGCGTGTAGTTGCAGCTCCATTGTTTGATGAACCAGAGCTGTGTGTTCACCAGCTAGGGAAGAAAAATGGCCATGGGGACACGGATCTGCCTGCTTAGCTCATTGCAGGGCAGGGGTTTCCCATTTCCACATGGATTCTGTAGCAGGAAAGAGCTGTGTAAAACTGCAGTGGGGGGTGCTCTGCGTGCTAAGCCAGATGTCAGCAGTAGAGCAGTGGCTGTAAGCTAATTTTCTTAATTCCTGCTTTGTTTTCTAACCACTCTATCACTATTCTTTCTTTCTTTCCAGGTCCTTTTTGCATTATATGAAAATGCTTTGTGTGCAGTAGAAACTAATTGAAATAGATTCTTTGAGAAAACAGTAAGGCATAACTAAGAATGGAATCTTGGTGTAGTAACACGAGAAAGCATTTCTGTAGCTACTATGAAACGTGGTACTTTAAATACTACGAGTAAATCTTATGCATTGGAAGAAGTTAGGTTCTCTGGAATGAGGAGGATGAATGTTTGGTGGACTGGGGGGCCTCATTTCTAGGTGTTGCTTGTACAAAAGCAGAGATGCTCCCTCATCACCTGTAACTATGGCAGCTCTCTGTATTTGGGAGGAGAAGGAAGTGTGAAGAGCCTATACTGATAGTTTGAGCCTTAACAAAGGAGAAAGACTTGGTTCCTCATTTCCATATCGATTTAGGTCTTCTGCCACTGCCATCTGAAAGGGTAAAGGTGTTAGAATTGTGTCAAATAAAATACAACGCCACTTGGGTGCATTGTTATTCAGGGCGTTGTGGGAGGCATTGTGGCTTTAATTCTTCTTTCCTCCTTGATAGTTGACTTGGACAAGTGCACTCATCCTCCTGTTGTGCCACATTCCATCTGGTAGTACAGATTTGCTTGTTCATTTGAGTTTTCTTAGCTGCTCTTTCTGGGATCGTGATCTCTTGTGAAATGGCTTGTTTTTCTTTTTTTCCCCTCTTCTTTTAAAGATGATGCCTTTGAGTGGGTGGCACAGCCTGTTGTTTTTCTTTGTAGGGAAGCACGAGTAGTGAACTGGAAGTTCTGGGTGCAGTTTCCTTTGACTTTGAGAGAAAGGGAGCATTTGTTTGTGGTGTTTTGTCCCAGATAGAAGTAAACAATGAAACAAGATTTTGCACTTGAGTTCTGGCTATTAATGTTAGTCAAGAATGCAGAAAATTCTATCAAGTAGTAACTCCCTGGTTTGTCACTAAAGATCCTCTTAGATGCCCCTTAAGAAAATAGGTTTCTCTCATTCAGTGTTTTATTTTTCATCAGTGTTCAGTACTTCCCTTGTACCTTCTGACTAAACTGCAGACAACAAGTGGCAATTACTGGAAGGCAAGTTGGTATTTTCTTACTGCCAGCAGGAGATGGTGGTTAGAGTTTACCTGAACCTCATTGCTTCAACAAATCCAAAATAAAAGCATTTCAGTAGAGAGAGCAACAGTGCTCACCAGTGGTGTTTTTTTGTTTGTTTGTTTGTTTGTTTCCTTCAACCTATTTCATCTTCTTCAATGAAATAGCTTAAAAAATCTAGGAAAAAAAAAAAAATATCTCCTGGGCTGTGTACTTCTTCCTATGCCTACGGGATTGCATACTATGGCTCTTCTACTGCTTTTCTGTCTGTCTACTCTTCCATCTTATACTATACCATCTTAAAATGGTGCCAGTGCTCAGTAGGAGTCTGTACTTGGGTAATTTTTATGAGATAATGGCCTCTATGTTCATGCTCTGCTTGGTCTATTTTTGAAGGCATCTCACTTCCAGCAAGTAGATGTTCAGAACTTCTTAATCCTACTGTAAAGCTGGGGATTTTAGAGTGATGCCATGAAACTTCAGGTTAGATCTTAGGAGGAAGTTTTTCACCCAGAAGGTGGTGACACACTGGAACAGGCTGCCCAAAGAGGTTGTGGATGCCCCATCCCTGGAGGCATTCAAGGCCAGGCTGGATGTGGCTCTGGGCAGCCTGCTCTGGTGGTTGGTGACCCTGCACGTAGCAGGGGGTTGGAACTAGATGATCATTGTGGTCCTTTTCAACCCAGGCCATTCTATGATTCTGTGAAATTTTGTCCTTCTCTTGCTTGTTTGATTACATTTTCATCATCTTTGTTGGAATCTCGGATATCATTGATTTAAGTAAATGAAATACTCTTGCTGGATGATGCTACTCAAAGATCAAAGAGGTGTGTGTGGCAGAAATAAGGGTATTGTTACTCTTTTTCACTGTAGTGATATCATGTTGGTTGGACTCAATGATCTCTGGAGGTCCCTTCCAACCCCTACAATTCTGTGATTCTGTGTTTGAAAACACGTTGACTGTTGGAAGGCATGGGAAGGCTTTTGGTGGATTTCTCTCTCAACTAAAATAGAATTCTTCTTCGTAACTCTTTGTAAGCTATAAATGGGGATATAGTTCAGATGTTAAACTGTGCCATGGTCATGACAATTGGGAAACACTTTTCATAAATCCAGTAATATTGTTAATTTTTTTTAAAAAAACAAGGTTCCCAAGTATCTGAAAGTCAGGGAATGAATAAAACAATCGTTCTGTTTTTTACTTTCTTAAAGTACATTGCTCTTTGCAAATCATCAAACAAACGTTTAGCAGGAGAAAAAACAACTTAGTGATGTTAGACTGAAAGCAGTGACTGGTTTCTGATATGTAGTGAGTATTTTAAGAAGGAGCTTCTTGTCCTGATCAGTAACTTAAAAACATCCGAATTGTTATCCTTAGGACTCTGTCTACCAGTGATGATGTTGAGGACCGGGAGAATGAGAAGGGCCGCCTGGAAGAAGCTTATGAGAAGTGTGACCGGGATTTGGATGAGCTCATTGTCCAGCACTACACTGAGCTCACCACTGCGATTCGCACCTACCAGAGCATCACGGAGCGCATCACCAACTCCCGGAACAAAATCAAACAGGTGAAGGCTGACTTTACATGTGTTGCTCTGCTTGCATCCCCTTGGTAGCCTCTAGTCTTGGTACAAATGCATGCGACTTCTTTTCCTGACTTTTGTTTCCTTATTTGTGGTGGAACACCAGCTCATGTTTTAACTTCTCATTTCTCACCTTTTTTCCCAGCTACTTGTCATCATCTTTAAGTGAACTAAAAATTGAATTGAGAAAGCAATGCTGGCTGCTGATGGAACTGTGATGTGGCTGGGAGCAGAGCAGCCAGTCTTAATGCAGCGGTCCCTGGCTATGTCTTCTGCCAGTGTTTTCCATAGGATCTCCAATTGTCTTTTGAGAACACAAGTAATTAAAGAGAAAAATAAGAGGAGGATAAGAAGAGCAAAGCTTTGCAGTGCCCTCTATTCACTTACTGTCTGGGCAAGTTACTATCAGGTTTTTGAAGTTTAAGGGCTGCTAAGCTAACACTTTTCAATCTGATCTGTTCATGTCTTTATATGTTGGCCTCCAACAACCTCCTGAGTAGACTGAGTGAATCATCAGCTTGTTTTTTTTCCTCAGAGAATATGAATTTTGGTGCTATTTCCAAACTCAGTTCTGTTGTGTGAATGTACATGAACTCTGTGCCCCCATGTATTTCTGTGTTTTGAGTGCTCACACTTCAGTAGTGTGTCAATAAATAACTCTGGTGCTCTTTGTTGTGGACTTGTTCCATCTGCTCTCTCCTTCCAGCTCTGATTACTGTAGCAGTAGATAAATTCGTTGGTCTCCTGTCCTGTCTTCTATTTGCTATGTGGTTTGCCTCACCTAAACTCTGCAAACTAAGCACCAGAATTGTTTCATTTATTTATTTATTTTTCCTGGCTCTGAGGAGGTCTCAGAACCTTTCACAGTATTGCCTTAGGAACAGCAGGCTGTGACCCTTCTGGGGTTACGTACTGACCCTTCTGCCTTTTAAACTTCATTTAGCATTTTCAAAGAGAATGAGACATCTTGATGCTTTCCAAGGGTAAGAGTTCATTCCAGGATTTATGTACAAAGCTCAGCGCTTTGAAAGCAGAGATCAATTGCACTAAAGTTGAAGTAAACTATATAGGTGGCTTGTTTTCACATAGTATACTAAGCTTTGCAGAAGTCAAAACAAACATATAGAGGGAGACCTTTTGGTCCTGCCTGGAAGAAAGACTGTAAAGGTGGGGGACCTTTTGATATTTAAGTTTTCTTATTAGAAAACTATTATTATTTTTTCTATTATTATTTTCTTTTGGTCAACACGTATTGCAGTAGCTTTGTCCTAACCTCATGGGAAGCCCCAGGTCTGATTTGTCATCAATCTGTATTACGCTATCAGACTTCCTTTGGATTTTGATTGCACAGGCATTTACTTATGTTAGGAACTGTGGAAATCACGGGTAGTCCAGATCCTTCTGTGTATCTGCCTTCTGTAATTAGTTCTTGCATGAATACCTGTTGGGAACAGCTTGCTTTTGGCTTGGTTTGGGATGTAGCTTTACAGTTATTACCTGTAAAACTGAGTTATAAAGGAGAAGTGCTTAGACCTGCTACAAGGAGGTAGGTTCTTAAAGACTTGCTGTTCATTCCTGTCTGTGCTCCCAAATGTAGATATAGTTCATCATCTTTCATGCAAGGGCAGATGTATGAATGTCTTGTGAGATTCCTTCTAACCCCGCAGTTGTTGTACTTGACCCAGTTTTGCTCTGTGTAACAGCAATCCACTGCTGATGGTATGCTAGGTCAGTGAAACATTTTTAATTAAGGTATTGAACAGGGATTATGTCCAAAACGAAATCTCTGTGCGTTCTAGTTTCCCTTTGCTTTTGTGGCAAGTTATAACACTCTTACATTAGCTTTTCTGTTGGTCTGTGGGTTTTTCAGCATTAAACTTTGTAATGTCTTTCTGAAAAGAATAATGTTATTGTGTTGAAGTCAGTCTCTTCCTGCCTAGAGGTTGCCCTATATATCTAATTACCAAATGTCTGTATTTTGCTCTGTCCGTGTGTTTGGCATCTTCTAAAGGCTAACTGCCTTTATGTGGACAAGGTGCATCGAAGTGGGATTTCTGGAGTATTTTGAAGTCTGGCTATTTAAAAAATAAGTGGAAGGGCCTACTTTTCAGAGTCTCTCTTCATGTGTAATTCAGTGAGAGTTCCTGAGAGAAGACTGGAGCCTGAGTATTCAGAACTTATCTCGAAAACGAGAGTAGTGTGAAAGCAATGTGTGAAGCTGTGTTGTTAATTGCTTCCATGTTTTAATATCTGATTTATTTATATTATGTAAGAAAAATTAGCTTGTACTGACCTTATTAGAGGATACTAGAAGAACCTTAAAGCAGGGAATATAGGCTATGGATATGACCAAGGAGTATGGATAAGAAAAGCTCTTGCTGGTTCTTGTTAAGAGTGGGATAGAATAAGAAGAGACTTTGCCAGCTGAACAAATGTCTGACATACGATGGTGTGAAGCTCAAACTGAGAATGGTAAATGCTAGGGTGGTTCTCTAGGTCATAAAATAGCCTTGATAAGTAATAGAAATGCTGAGTTGTGTTGTATCCCAACAGCTATTTGTTTCATTGAAACCAGATCTCATAGAAACAAACCTAATATTGCTGTATTGGAAAAGTGATTGTACCATCAGGCAATTAGGCTTCAAGAAATTGACACGCAACTTGAAGGAAGGGAGGGGATGTGCCAGAAGATTCAATAGACAGATGGAAAATGTTTACAGCAGAAAATTTAGTAGTGGTTTATTTGCTTTCACTGCAAATTAGATTGTTGTTATATGCCAAAATACTGAAATGATTTTTGCAGAACTGCAAATAAGTCCTTGGTCACGGTTAATAGGATCCTGCATTTATTTGTGTTATCATACTTCAGTTAACTTCTCACTAATAGTACAAAACTTATACTAAAAGCATTTCATTTTCAATAAACAATTCCAGTTTCTTTTAGCTAGAGGAATAACAAGCAATTTTAAAGAACTTGAATTTTATTATTGTCTCATGATATTTTTGGAATTCTTAATGAAGTCGGTGTGGGAAAGGGCTGATTTGTGTTAGAAGTGCAAGTTACAGGGACAGATTTAATTAGTCTTTTGACACATTGCTTGTAGGTGAAGGAGAACCTGTTGTCATGCAAGATGCTGCTGCATTGCAAGAGGGATGAGTTGCGCAAGTTGTGGATTGAAGGAATTGAACACAAACATGTCCTGAATTTGCTGGATGAGATAGAGAACATCAAACAAGTGCCCCAGAAGCTGGAGCAGTGCATGGCCAGCAAGCACTACCTCAATGCAACGGACATGCTGGTAAGATGTCATACCTTGTCCTGGGTAGATATTCAGTGTAAATATCCTGGTCAGCTGTCTGATCATCTGCAGGCAGATCTGCCGTTTGTGTTTTTATGTTATTTGCTTTTTATTTTCTTACTTGTTTTGTCAGTTGCTGCTTTTTCTCTAACTGAAGTTTCTGTTTGTTTTTTGTTTTGATCTTCTCTGACTGGACTTTGGGTCACAGCCTCTGATCTTGTTTGGTTATCTCATGTTTTTATTTTGTACTTTCAGAGCTGTCTTTACCTGCTTACTTGTCCTGATCTTTTTTATAACCAGTTACTTCTTCACCCATTTGATCTGCACATAGAATTTCCTGCTGCTTTTGGAACTTTATATTTCTCTATGCAATTTTTTTTTTCATTCAGCGTTCTCATGTAGCTCTCCAAATTTCTTAGGTCTTCTCCTGAGCTGTTCTGTATGCTAACATGATCTCTTCCTGGTTTCCTATATTCTAAATATTGTTTAAGTGAATTTCCCAGGTGCCTGTGTTGTCATCATTCTTTATATCTTGTAAATTATTTCAACACTATTTTTGTTGTGGAAGAATTATGCAATTTCTATCCAAGTTCATCTCCCATAATGCACTCACAACATCAGTCATTACTCAGGAAACCATCTTTCGCTATTCAGGTGTGATTACTACTTTTGTCTTCCTCTGTCTTTTACCAGGACTCTGAATCCTTGTTCCTTATCTGTAGCTTATTTTTCTTTCTTCCATCCCTTCAAGTATCTGTTTCCACCTCTTTTACAAGCACACCTTTCATTTCCTGTCCTGTGGTGAAGACAATTTTCCTTAACTTGTTTAAATTTCTCTCTTTCATTTCTAAACTTAACAAGCAGATTTCCTAACCAGACTCCAGTCCTTTATTTCTTGAAACTATCTTCTACAGTAACCAAAAAGTTTGAGAGAGATTATATCCATTCCTGACACATGTCCAGTTCTGAGATCCTCAGTACAGGAGGGAAGAACTTTCTGGAGCAAGGCTGATGAAAGGCCAGAAGGATGGTTTAGGAGCAGGAGCATCTTTCCTATTAGGAGAAACTGAGAGCACCGGGACTGCTTAGCTTTGGGAAAAGAAACCTGGAGGAGATCTGATCTGATAAGAGGCTGCAGAGAAAACACAGCCAACCTTTTCTCAGCAGTACCAGGACAAGAGGCACTGGGCACAGACTGAAATAAGGAAATTCTATTGAATGTAAGAGAACACTTCACTGCAAGGACAGCTGAACAGTGTGACAGGTTCCCAGAGAGATTATGGAGTCTCTGTTGATAATTTTCAGAACCAGATTGGGCATGGTCTTGGGCAGCCTGCTGTAGCTGGCCTTGCATCAGCAGTGGAGTTGGATTAGAAGATCTCTAGATGTCCTTGCAACCTCAACTATTCCGTAATCCAGAAGTGAAGACAAAAATGTTCACACTTTTTAGCCAATAATGCTTCAAAGAAGTTTTTTCATTGCTTTCTTTTTTGTTTCCTTTATTAACTTCACTGTCATTTGCATTTCTCGCAACTTCAATCTTAGCTGTGCCTCTTCACAGAATCACAGAATAACGAGGGTTGGAAGGGACCTCAAGAATCATAAATCTCCAATCCTCCCTGCCACATGCAGGGTCACCAACCTCCACATTTAATACTAAACCAGGCTGTCCAGGGTCTCGCTTCACTTTTTTTAATAAGCCATTCATTCATCAACGGGATGAAGAGCTGAAAATCTCAGCGTTGTCATCCTGTACTCCTAGAGCCTAACTGTTACTTAATTTTGTTTTCTCTTACTTTACCTTAAATGTGACTTTTTCTGTACTTCTAAACTGTATTAGGAAGTCTCCTAATTGACTCTGATGGCTCATGTAAGTGTATCTTGATTTTTGTTGGTATTGTCACGTTTTCTTGCCTGATTTCACCCTATTGTCACCTTCCTGATCTTTTCTGTTGCACATGTTCTGTTTTCATGCCACATCCGGTGCAATCATCTTTCTGTAACCTGGTCACAATTTTCCCTTTTTTCTTTTTCAAAACCATCTTCCAGGGACACTCTCAAACTCATTCTCCTTAGATTCTCACTTTCCTTCAAATATGAACTATTGTCTTGTATCTTTCCTACCAGTCTGTAAGTCATCTGGGTTGGTTAATGTATCCATTTCTATTCAGTGCTAATACTGTTATTGGTTGAAGTGTCAACCAGTGTTGATAATTTATTTTATTGATAGACTTGGGCTAGTTTGCTTGTGGGTTTCTTTTTGTTGAAAAATTCTTTTCAGTGGGAAATTGCAGAAAAAAAAATCATTTTCTATCAGAAATAAAAGATAAAAAGTGTAAAAAGAGAAATGACATAACTTGTAATGCTCATATGTTTTAGAAATGTTTTGGAATACAAGCTTCTGTTGTATTCATAGAATCATAGAATGGCCTGGGTTGAAAAGGACCACAATGATTATCTAGTTTCAACCACCCTGCTATGTGCAGGATTGCCAACCAGCAGACCAGGCTGCACAGAGCCACATCCAGCCTGGCCTTGAATGCCTGCAGGGATCCAGGGACATCCACAACCTCCTTGGGCAACCTGTTCCAGTGTGTCACCACCCTCTGGGTGAAAAACCATGAGCAGTTTGCAATACATTGTGTGCAGTGTCTTTGGTATATCTATGTACACATACATGCATGTGTGTAAATGTGTTGTGCATGTGTAGCTAAGCTTGCCCAGGCCCATACAATACAGACAATATTAGAAGTACAAACTTCTGTAGTACATCACATTACTTTTGCCCCACGATGGAGTATCTGTTCTAAAGAAGTCAAATGATAATGATAGAAGAAGCTACTGTTTAGATTTTTATTAAATCAAGGAATGCAGTGAAAACTTGAGTGAAAATGAAATGCTTTCAGCTGCTCATTTACTCTTGAAATTTTCATTTGAAGACAAATTTCACCTGAAACAGAGAAATGGTAACCAACCTGCATTTGGAGCCTTTTTATATACAAAAAATTGCTGTGGGCTCATTGGCTTTTGCCATCTTCTCTTAACGATGCCTCTGCAAGACTGTGATGTTGTAATTGCTCTCTGGCTGCAGGATAATTTCTTTCTCCTTTTTTATGATAAGAATATTATGTAAAATAATGACTAACCTGTCAGAAATGCAGAATGTTTATGGGTCTCTTTGTCTTCTGTATTGTTCCTCAAGGTAAACAGATGCTCCTGGCTTACGAAAAGCCCAGAGTAATCTGACAAGGAGCTTGTATCCCTCACATTGAAATTGGAGCACCGATTAATATTGTTGCCTGTAGCTTTGTGATATGTACAGTCTAAATTAGACCTTTGCAGTTGCTGTGTTAGGTAGATGCAAGCACGCTAATAGCATAATTTCTGGTTGCTGCAACGCGTTTCTGCAGTCTGTTCTTTGTATTCCACTCACATTAATTGAAGTAATTTTGCCACTGAAGCGTGTTTCAAACCTCTGCATTTAAATTGAAATTTTAATTCCCTTATTGTTTGGAAAAGACGGCTGAAGATGGCTTGTTACAGGTTTCATTATCAGTCAGAACTCTCCAGCTGCTGGTTCTAATGTGCAATGACTGAGTAATGCTGGGAAGAATTATTAATATAAGAGTGGCAGCTTTTCCCAGCCACATGAACAAGATGCAAAGAATATCTTTTGACGGTATGAAGTTAACAATTTTAAGAGGCTGGTGTTGTTTCTCATTTTATATTTGTCTAAAGTAGTCGCAGGTGAGCTTCGATCATCATTTGTTCACATTGTGTGTTCTGGTGTCAGGGTTTGCTGTACTATAGCTGCAGGTTGCACACTTTGTCTTGAAATTCCAGTTCCAACTTCTGTTGAACTGTAAAGCTCTGGAGAAATTAAGAGGGTCCAGAGCACCCCAAACTCCTGATTAAGACAGAACATTTCAGTTACCTTCAACTTTTGTATTTGCTTTTTTGAAGTATGAGTTTGTATGTCTATCTGTAAAGGATCTGTTTTGTGACTCACATCACTACTAAAAGTGACATTCACTTTGATTTGGCAGTTGAGTGCGGGTGCACACATGTATGTGTATTTTGTCCTTACTGTAAAGCACAATCAGTGCTGAGAGAGGAATTCTAACATGGAAGGAGCTTCATGAAAAGGCAGTGCACACTCTCAATGGAAGAGCAGCAGAGCTGGTGATGGAGACAAGATGGGGCTGACTTATATAGCACCTGGCCTGGAGGCATTCCTGTAATTGCTGGAAGGCAGGAATCTGAATTATTCTTATCTGAGGCTGGAAGAGAAAATCTGGGCTACAGAGCGCTATAGTCAAGTCAAATCTTGAAGAAGAGGGCACAGCAGGGATAGTCAGTGGTTGAGGACAGAAGGGCTCTTGTTTAGAGGTTCATGGCTAGTTTCCTTCAGCAGTGGGTTTTGAAGGGCAGTATGCTGAGACTACAGTTTCTTAATTAACTCAAATAGCATAGAGGTCCGTGGTGTTGATCTAATTGTTCTGACTCTACTTTTGACCCATGAGGTACCCATAGGGAGGAATTTATATTTTCGTTTGTTTAAATAGTCCAAGAGATGAAATGCTGAAAACAGTTGGAGGAAGAAATGTTGTTGAATCAAGTAATTAAAGGTCATATCATAAGCAATTTTCATTTAATTGTGTTAGGCTATTTTCTTTGCATTGCCTGGCTTTTAACTGTCCAGCTTTGCAATTTTAATGAGCTAATATCACTTTGACAAAGTGTATAGACTTTTAAAAACAACTTTTAAATCCAATAGACCATGGTATGCTTACTCTGAACTTGATTTCTTATTGTAAGAATACAGTTCCTTTGAATGCAGGATTGTAGCTCATAGCAAAACAGTGTGAAACTGCACAAATAGATCCATAGGATAAAAGTAAGGATTACTGCCATACCAGATGAGTTCTTTTTTTATTAAGAGGATGACAGAAAGCAAAGAATAGATGAGAAGGAGGAAGTAAGGAGCCCTCTGACTGTTG